TCTGCTCTTTGCCTAGGTCTATGCACTGCCAATGTATAAGGGAAGGAAACTCCCAATCTACCAGATGTCTGGTATGAGTTTGTGTTCTCTAAAATCAAAGAATGAATTTTAGGAACAACGGAGGTTAAGAGCAGAACATATTTATTGGGGAAAAGAAAGCTTCTGTCCAAGAGAGACAGAGAAGGTGATTCAAGTCGGTTGCCAAGGAACCTGCCTTTTCTAGGGATTTTTATAGAGCAAGTCCATGATGTGAGGTGGGTCCAAGGTGGGCAAAACGGGAAATCGCAAGATGGGCATGAGGTGGGACAAAACTATAGTCAACCAATTGCTCAGGTAAAATTGGTTAAATTAGGATCAAACAGGGAAGCAAGTCACATAGCAAGTGGGCATGAATACAGTTCAGGGGATTTTCTGCAGGGAGTTGAGTTAGTGACTCTTCTTGGCTTTCTCAAGGTGATAGACACCTATTTAGAATATCAGTCCCTGATGTTTATCCTTAGGGAGCTATGTGGGTACATTTGTTTTATCTTTGTCTTGAGGTCTGGCCCACAGCAGAGGTGCCTGTCCCTCCCACACTTGCAAGATATCTTGTCTTCTGCACTGGCTCCTTCAAGGGCCTAGCCCTATTTGACTGCCTATAATATTTTAGCTACCTCAGCTGCCTACAGCACCAAGGTTTCCATTAACTATATAACACACAGATGTCTCTTCATCTGCAGGGATTTGCTTAGTACACACTGGCTCCAGGAATCGGGTTACCTCCACCCCTCCACTAGCTATGGTTTTATTAGTAATTTGTGAAGAATGCCAGCATCTAGGCAGAGACCTGCATGCACACTCTTCCTCCCAAGGCCACCAGAGACCTCCTCTCACTCTGCCCCCTACCCCTAAGCTTTCCCATCTCTGTGTGCTTAGGAGGCACAGGGGCTTTCCTTTCAGAGTGGGACCAGATCTTGGCCTTGCCCACCTTGCGAAGTGTCATCCCTGCAGAGTCCTAGCCCCTGGAAATTCTCTCTCAGCAGGAGCTAACACTGAAATCCCCCTCGCTCCATTCTGTGTGCGCTCCTCTTTCTCAGCGGCCTGCCAGTTCTCTTCACCCAGTGTCTACAAGCTGACCCCTCCCACCAAGTTGCTGTGCTGTGATTCACCTTTGCAGTGGACTTCTGCCTCAGGGTGGCTTTTTCTCTCTACATGAAAAAGCCTAGGTTCACCTCCATGCTAGCTATCACACACTGTTACCTTACTACATTCTCTGATAAGATTTATCAGCAGTACAGACTCTACTCAAACAAAATGGCAAAGCAACTCTCTGGGGAGAAAGAGGCAGAGGCTGCCTTTATTTTGCAATAATTAGCTTTCCCCTTATAAACCCAGGTTAGCACCAAGGCACTCCACAGCTACCTCTTGGGGTGGCCTGCTGTAGGTCTGCATTCACACTGGGGAGCTTGCTACATTCTGTAACTTCCCCAGCTTCCACAGGGGACATTGGGCCACTGTGCATCGTGATTACTCTTAAACTTTAGGCTGCTACAGAATCTCCCTAAACAGTGGATCCTTCCTTCCGATTCTGACTCAGCAGACCTACAGTAGGGCTGAGAACTCTGCCTTTCTGGCAACTCTAAGTGATCCTAAGGCAGAAATAGTAGGACCTTATTCCTTCCCCAGATGGGCCATTTGCACTATGGTGTCCAAAGAGATTAACAGTTATGTGTTTTAATTTGCACTTTAAAACTATACATCTTATTTAAAAGATTAAGCAAAAATACTGAGTGAAATAATTATTACGTAAATAATCATATTGGGAGAAGTACACTGCAAAAACCGAGAAGGCATTGATAGATGCTGAAGTTGATGAGTAATGTGACAAAGACTAGGAGGGCTGTTGCAAATACCTGGTGTGGTTATTTTTAAAACCCCTGGAATATATCTTTTATATATAACTTTTTGTTTTACTATGCTGTGGATCAAACCCAGGGCCTTGCATATGCTAGACAAATGCTCAACCACTGAGCTACTTCCCAAGGCCTTATGCTTTTTTTTTTTTTTTTCGTTTTTTTGAGACAGGGTCTCACTATGCAGTTCAGGCTGGCCTTGAGCTCACTTTGTAGCTCAGGCTGGTCTCGAACTCTCAATGATCCTCCTCTCTCAGCCTCCCGAGTGCTGGGATAATAGGCATGCGCCACCCTGCCTGGCTCATTTTTTAATATAAACTATATTTTCAGTTTAGTAAACTTGAAACTTTCATAAAAATAGGAAAAAGGAAATTAAAATTCTGGGAAAGCATTACTGAAAGGTCACCACTGCTGACACACCTAGACCTGTTCATATTTAACATCCCTCTCAGCACCCCTCTCCCTCCCAGGCGGGTACCCCCTCTCCCTCAACTTTTTCTGCAATTTTTACATTGGAAATACACTTCCCATACAGATTGGCCACCATTTTAAAGTTTTAACACTCTTTCATGCCACTAAAGAGCTTCCACAAAGATGATTCTAGAAGTTTAACAACCTTCCAGCACGCAGCAATGGTTAGGAGAGAGTGTGTGACCAAGTTCTAAGCCCTGGTTCTGCTGTGGGTAGATTGTTAAATGGCTCTGTGGCTCCCTTCCCTCCTCAGGGATGTGGGAAGAGCAGCACCTGATTCATAGAGTTGAAGAGTATGTGAGATAATGTACTTAGAACGCTGCCTGGCACAGGGTAAGTACTTGAAAACTTTTGACATCATGGTCCCAAATGCATTACCATATTTAAAACACTCCTTCACTTTCTGATATTTTATTTCCTTAAAATGCTTATGCTTCCCATTGGATCTGATTCCAGGAGCAGAAAACCCATGTGTGCTATTGAAGATACAGCAGCAACTTATATGCCGCTAACTCTCACGGTCTGTCTACTGGCAAATCTCAGTGATCCTAAGGCAGAAATGGGAGGACCTTATTCCTTTCCCGGATGGGCTATTTGCCCTGTGATGACCCAAGAGATTTTAGTAGTTATGGGTTTTAATTTAACCTTTAAAACTATATATCTTATTTAAAAGATTAACCAAAAATACTGAGTGAAATAATTATTAGGTAAATAATCATATTGGGAGAACTATATGGCAAAAACCAAGAAGGTATCAGTAGATGCTGAAGTTGGTGAGCCATGTGACAAGGACTAGGATGGCTGCTGCAAATATTTGGTGTGGTTATTTGTTAAATAGAATATTTTTAAAAGAATTTTAAATATTCTTTTAAAATATTTTTTAAAAAGAATATTTCTTTTATATATAACCTTCTTTTATATATAACTGGGTTTTTGGCTTTTACATTTCACCTAACACTTTTTGTTGTAGTTGTTACGCAGCAAGTCTTCACTCTCTTGACTACTAAAATCTGACTGAGACAAACATGACCATTGTCTCACGCCAAGACTCAGCAGCTTTGTTGCCTTCAGACATAGTCCTGATGCTTTGCTCCTGTGACTGTAGGACACAACCAGCGTAGGTGGGAGTTATTCCCTAAATACGGTTTGTCAACTGCTTCTTTTGCTGTTTTACTGCCACTAGAGGAAGAATATGGCTTAAGTCTGAAAAAGAGGAGAATTACTGCTGGGTGTGGTGGTGCACACCTGTAATTCCAGCACTTGGGAGGCTGAGACAGGAGGATCATTGCAAGTTTGAGACCACCCTGGACTACAAAGTGAACTCAAGTCCAGTTTGAACTGCATAGCTAGACGCTGTCTCAAAAAAAAATGACCAAAAAAAATTTTAAAAAGGAAGAGAATTACTAAATACTAATCTTACCAAGTCTAAGACAGCACTGTAAATTATTCTGTTTAAGGTAGAACAGCAACTTACATATGAGTTGGATGTGTCTGATGTGTCTTAAGCAATCATACAGACAGGCAGTCAGCTTAGCCATCTTGTTGTACCTCTTGCCCATGTGAATTTTCTGATTTTGTAATTTGGACCTTACTCTGCATTTTGAACATTGAAACCCTTCTATATTTGGATTTTTCTGACAAGATTGTTTGTAAGATGGGTGTGGAAAGTGCCTGCACTCTTTCTTATACAGGAGATACTTTCTCAGCTTGACATCCCACAGGACTCGCTCCTTGTTTTCCATGGTGAGTCACAGGGTGACCTTCCAGTTTTCACTCACCTCGATCCCCCTGGGAAACCTCCAGCTGAGCCAGCTCTTTCTCCATGAGCTCTCCTGACCTGCTCATCAGACACCTTCTCATGAACTTTTCAGTCTTGATTGGTCCATGATGACACATATTGTGTGATTGCCATCTACCTTTATTTTACTTCATTTTGGTGATTCTCACATCACCTTTTACCTAATCCCAATAATGTATACTTCCAGTTGAAATATTGCACAGGGAGCTGTGGAAGGTTCCTTAATAATCCACACAGCTAGCGGGATGCTGGTAAGCACCCCAAGATCCTGCCAAAAGGCCAGCTCTTCTCTGGATCTTTTGCCATTATTGTGTTTCCCTTATGTCTGCAAATAGTCTACTTACTGAAGTCAGGGATGCTTCTCTTTTATCCTGCAAGAGGAGATCCTTGGTTTTTCAAATTGTACTGTGAATGGTGGCTCTGGGAGAGACTGCACATCACAAAGAAAACCTACTTCCGGGTAATAGGCAGAGGACAGTTTTGCAGATTCTGTGCTCAGTAGTCCAATGCTGCACAGATCTGAGAAATTGCAAATTAGAAAGAACAGCACTTACCACTATAGCTATGGATTGATTTCCCCCAGCTTTTATTTTGGAAAATTACAAACATACAGAAATTTCAAGAACAGTATCATGAACACCCATATAATCTTTATCTAGGCTCCCTAATTTTTCATTGGTTTGCAGTGCTGGGGGTTAAACCTAGTGCCTCTCATGTGCTAGAGAAGAGCTCTGTCACTAAGCCACACCCCCATCTCTTAGCTTCCTAATTATTTTCATCACATTTACTATTTCTCTCTCTAAACATATACAAGGCGTGATCAAATGATATGGTGAGTCTGTCAATTTAAAGGAATTTTATTACAATAAAAGATAGTCCAATGAATTCTCTCCAAATACCTTCCCTCAGTTTGAACACATCATTCTTGCAGCAGCTCTAGAGTCCTCTTTCCTTAGTCTCTTTAGTTGTACTGTTGCAGCTGCCTCAATTTCTTGGGTCCCTTCATAACATTGACCTTTCATGATCCTTTTGGCTTTGGAGAAAAGCCAGAAGTCCAATGCCAGATCTGGTGGATAAGGTGGACAAGGAACGGCGTCATGTGTTTATAAGCCTGCTGTCCCTGGACAGCACTGTGCAGCAGTGTTCAACATATTTTTGATCACATCTGGTAAAGATAAGAAAGAGAACTTCCAGAAAGGGTCAAGAACAATGGGATAAGTGTGTGTAAAGCAAGGGGGAGGATTTTGAGGGAGATTCATGCAATGTATCTTTTACTGTAATAACTTCTTAAAATTTAAACTGTATGTTTCAATCATCCGTTGTATATGTGTGTGTGGTCATTCCCATGCTTTTATATGCACACACAAAAAAAGGCATTATTATGTTATTGACACTTTACCCCTGAGAATAAAAACATTGTCTTATGTAATCATAAAACTGGAAATCTAACATTGATACAATAACATTAGATATTATCCAGACCATATCCAATTGTCTCCTTAGTCTCTTTAGCCTTTCTCACCTATGTGAATATTGTTACATGAGTTTTGTTGGTGATGATGCTTTATTTTGCAGAATGTTTCTCAGTTTGGATTGGTTTACTTTCTCACAAGTAAACCCAGGTTAAACTGCGATTATCGGGGGAGACATTGCTGACATTCATTCACATCGTGTGTGTCACATTAGCAGTCTCCTGATGTGAGTCTGTACCTCTTTAGTGCTACTATGTGTGGTAAAGGTGGTATTCACCAGATTTCCCCATTCCCACAGGAAGGTACCTTTCTTCCTGTAAAAAATAGGAATCTAGGAATGAAATTTTTCAAACATCCCATACTTCACTGTTTTTTTGTCCACTAGGTTTAGCATTCATTGATGATTTTTGACTGAGTGAATAATTATTATAGTAGTTGCAAAATAGTAATTTCCTACTCCTATTATTCTTGCTACATTTATTAGCTGGTATTTTCTGTGAAGAAGAGATTTTCCTTTTTCTCTTCCCCTTAAAACTTATTTCCCATATGTACAAATTCATAGAGATCTTATAAATTGCATGTGTTTAATCAGTTCCCGTTGTTGTTCATTCTGGTGCTTGAATTGTTTCTTACGTGGCTGGCAGAATCATCTTTGTATTGGTTAATATACTTTCAGTGACAACTCTGTATTCAAAGTGAGAACTTTGGACAGTTATACTCAAAAGCAGAATGAATAGAGGTCAAATTGCATCAGCTCTATGCTAAATATTCCCCATACATTATTTCATTAATTCTGAGAAAATCCTGTCGAATAAGTGTTTTATATATTTTACTGAAATATTTTCTAACTATGTAATCAATGTAAAAGACCTGATGCATAGATACTACAGCACGAGTGCGCATTCAGAGTAGAACACTTGAGAACATCAGCAGAGAAGAGAACTCTCCCAACAAGGCCTGAGTCAAATTTCCTTAATCTATACCCAATAAAAACAATTTTGTTGTTAGATATATGTACGTGTGTGTTCAAAGACATTAATCTAGAATCACACAGCACATTTTATGTAGAGAAATACACATAAATGAGCTGCCTAGGTCACTGAGCAGTGGACATTCATTCTCAACTGCCTCCCCCAAACTAACTTGCCAGATCCACAGACGCTCCCACCCCCTTTGGGACTTGGTTTTCTGACAGGCACAGCATGTCCTACACATTGGGGCAGTGATGACTCCACACATGCCCCAGGACTCCTGCTCTGCTTTCTGCTATTGTTCACAGACCTAGAGTAAAGTGTAGTTGTTCCCGGGCCTGATTTAGTTAATTAGACTTCCTGTGGTAGTATTTGCACTAAGCATATTGTAGCTAAATAGGGAAACCCATCAAACTAGGGGAGTAAAAATGTATACTTGTTATTTTGAAAGTCAAGGTTGAATCTCAATTTGAAGAAATGACTATCATGATATGTGTAAGAAAAGCTTTAAAGACTGAAGTAGGAGTCATAATAGGCCCATCAGTCTCAAGTCCTCAGCATCTCACTGTCTGCCTTACCTCAAAGAAACTGAGACCAGTGATTTAGGCAAGAAAGATCCCAACATACAGCTCTACTCCGGGAGGTGGGATGCATCAAAATATTGTCCAGTGAATATGTAGTGCTGGTATAGATTTTAGAGTATCTGGCTTTAACATCTTTCTTTCTTTCTTTCTTTCTTTCTTTCTTTCTTTCTTTCTTTCTTTCTTTCTTTTAATCAACTGACCATTACTGTTTTGATCTTATTAAATGAGTTTTATTGCTAAGTTCTAACTTCACTAGAATTTCAATCATTCTTAGTTATGATTTCTCAGCCTTTAAAGGGCATCAAGCTAGGGAACATTTCGGTGACTGTAAAAAGCCCCTACTGGGACTATAGGGATCCAAATGTCCACTGCAGCTGAATTCCTAGCGTTCAGAATAGCAAAGACTAGCATCAGACCCTCGGCAACCTGTTGCACAGGCCGGGTGTATGTGTGCCTAACTTCCCCCATGAGAGCAGAAAACACCTGCGACTTTTCAGCCTCCCAACCTGTCGTGTGTTACATGGTGTATATTATTCCTAGTTTAACGTTTCTATTGGATTTCTGTGCTTTGGGAATGTCGATCACTTCTTTTCATCCCCCTAAACATGGGACACTTTTCCTGACTCAGACTTTGGACACATTAGCTGAGACGAAGTGTAACAGAGAAGTCTCACCAAGGGGAGGGTTCCCAGCTCACTGGCTGTCCTGACCCTGCCCTTTCCTGTTGAGACCTGAATCGCAGATCTTATTTGGTGTCAGCAGGCAGAACTCCCACTGCTCATCTAGTAAGCACTCAGAAAATATTTGTGGCTGATGATGTTTTTCACTTGTAAAAAATATTCAGAAGCTCCAGTGACACAGAGACAGCCAGAACACAGAGGCTGTGCTCAGGAGGGGATGGCTGCTTATGTGGAGACAGGACTGCAGTGCTAAACCCAAATGTCCCCTACTGTGCTCGGTCCTCCCCAAACCCTGGCCCTCAGAGTGGCTCTCCCAGGGGCTGGAGGACCAGCCTCCCTCCTCCAGCAGGCGTGTGCTTGGGCATCGGAGCATGAACAGCCGTGTCCTGTGACATCATGTCACACTGACTTCCGTGAGCCCTGCTGCGGATGAAACTGGTGCTGACTCCTCAGGCTGGCCCAGGGACCCCTGACTGCGGCCTCCTTTCCCTCTTTAGTTTCCTGACCTTGTGTTCCAAGCAGATAGGAACCACTCTGGTAGATGAGCCTCATCTTTACCCTAATTGCTTTCCTCTCCCCACTCCAATCAACTCCATTTCTGTCTTTTGAAATCTTGCTCTTCTGCAGAGGTCCCTGGGCAAATGTTGCTTTTCCTTGAAGCTTGCCTAGACTCCTCTAACCAGCAGTTGTCTCTCACTGTGTGGTCCCCTGGGGCACCCCTCTCCTAGTACTCTGAGGTTCGGGCCCTCAGGTGTGTTCAGTTTTCATTTCCTGCCGGACACTGCCCAGCTACACCTTGCACAGAGAAAGTGTTTAACCTTTAAATGAAGGTTTGATAGATGTTAGCTGAACTGTATAAGTTCTTGACTCTATAAGTAGTGCAATGCTGGAAGACTTTAGGAAATATTTTCAGGAGTTAGAAAGTACATAGATTTGGAATGAAAATATTCTAACCTAAACCATGAAATTCTCTGAGCTGCAACATAATGCTTAGAATTTAGATAGAATGCTTGACTTCCAGAGATGTTCCTTTATGCATGCTATAAATAGATGGAGGGATCATTTCAAGGTAGTTTTTATTTATTGCATGCTGGGAAAAATATTATTTCTCTTCTAATTTGTGACACTTATAAAATTCTTGTCCCTTATTTTTCACGCATGTTTAATTAAATTAGTTACTAGTATCATTAGTCTTAAAAACAAATACTTTAAGATCATATTTCTTATTTTTTTTCTTTTTAGCATTCAGTGGTCAAATACACCATCCTAAATATTGATACTTCAAACAAATACAGGGAGCTACTCCTTCTCTATAAGGCATGTCTATAATTTATTATTGATATCATCTATAATGATGCATCTATTTCCTCCTGCATTTCTGCACAGTACTGGATGGCAGGCAGCTGAACAAGCACTAAAGAACTTTGTCTATTAACTCGATTCTGCTCTTCAGGATGGATTGTGACATTGACAGCATTATGGATCACTTGGCGTCCTCCCTTCCCCCTCATTTTTTCCTAATACTTTGTTCTCTGGGGGCTGAGGGGCATTTCAAGGTGGGTTCAGTGCGTTAAATATGTGTGTGGTTGGACTACAGCACGAAGATGGTATATACTAATGATCTCATTACATATTTCGGCTTCTTTCTGTCTATTTCTTGTGTGTGTGTGTGTGTGTGTGTGTGAGAGAGAGAGAGAGAGAGAGAGTGACACCCAGTCTACTCACCATGGGCAGACACCTCCCCGGTTCCACTTTTCTTGCTGGATTAGCTGAAGGGTTTCCACACCTACCATCTCAGCCAGTGTGTCCTTACGTTTGGGGATGATTTCCCCTCACAGTGGTCATCAAGCATAGATTCAGAGCAGCTAGAAATGAAACAAATGGTTTAAAATTACAACAGAACTATGTTCTGTTGGCTTCAGAATAATACTTAGACTTTGCTCTTTTAATGCAAAATTGCTGGGCTTGGGAAGCAGCGAAAACTAATTCAGTTGTCTCTCTTCAAAACTGTGGCCCATGAACGGCCCATAAAAGGAGATCCTGTTCTAGCCTGTCAAACTTGAACTCTTGGGAGCAAGTAACTCCATGTTCTGAGGGTGCTGCACAAGGTAACTTTTGGCTCCGTGCCTGCCACTGTGTGGGAACTTAAGGCTTCACCCCTGTCTTGTCACCCTGGGGTGTGCAGGGCTCTCACACCAGCTCTGCACCGGCCACTCCTTCCTCCTGAAATTCTACCCCTCGCCAGCTGCGCCCTTGCCTGGCCCCATCTGCTGCCTCTCTCTGCTCATCCGAGGGCACATTCTGCAGGCTGACTCGGTCACTCAGTGCAAAGACTTTCTTCTCTGTATTCCTTCTCCACTTTATCTTCTCCATGGCTCTTATCCCTACCGGCATGATTATATATATTTTTATTTATCAGCGGTCTCCCTCCACCACGAGGAGCATAAGCACAGAATTTTCAACGATTTCATTCAATGCTGTGTCTCCAGACCCTAGAAATGCCTGACAGGTAGGAGGTATTCAACAAATATTTGCTAGATAAATGAGCGAAGTTAGCCACCTCCACCCATTCATTGTCTCCTGTCATCTTTCCAAAGCATAAATCTGATCATGTTACTCTTGTGCTTATAAACTTGCAATAGCTCCCCATTTCCTACAGAAGAAAGTGAAAATGTGTTAATTTGGTATTTGAACTCCAACATACCTCTCCCACGCTTCACCTCCTGTATTCCTTGTGCCGTTGGATGGGCCAGCTGCACAGAGCCACTTGGTGTTGCCCAGCCTGCCCTTCTTACCTCTCCGCTCTACGTGCCCCAGTCACCCACACCGCTCCTTCTCCCGTCTGACCTCGCAGGTCCTGGTCTCCCCCCAGGCCCCAGCCGAAACCTGAGCTCTTTAGAGAAGCTTCCTTCCCATCCACGCACAACAGCTGTCCCTTTTATTACAGCTCCTTCTGCGCCTGCCTTCTTCTACTCTAAGCTCACATGAGCAAAAACTATTTTCATCCTTTTCCCCCTTCAACTTTTTTTATTCCAAACAGAAAGAGGAGTAAGAGTTGGAGGGAGCAGGCAAGGGTGGGAGAAGAGCTATGGGGAGCAAAAAAAGAAGAATTAAGATACACTGTATCCATGCACCAACTCCCCAAGATAAATGTAACCATTACATACTATGGACTCATAAAAACATAAAAAATAAACTGATACTAGACTTCGTCTTCCTTAGTCCCAACCACTGCAGAAGATTATATATATGAAGCTCATTGCAATGGGTCAAATGCATTGGTCTCTTCCTTTATTCCCAGCCATGACTCAAAACTAAGTGTGCTCCAGTTTTGACACATGAAACACCTTACAGCCGTATTCGGATCCCACTGACTTGTTTTGTTTTGTTTTGTTTGTCTTTTTGAGACAGAGTCTCACTATGCAGTTCAGGCTGGCCTTCAGCTCACTTTGTAGCCCAGGCTGGTCTTGAACTCGCAACGGTCCTCCTGCTTCAACCTCCCGAGTGCTGTGACTTCTATAAAGTTGACACTTTGCAAGATTTTTGAACAGAGGGATGAATGAATGATGGATGAGTAGGTATGTAAATAACACAGAGGCCACCAGAAGCCAAACTTCTGGGTACTTTCCTGAGTATCCCTGTTCTTTTAAAAAATACTACTGTTATGCATAACTGCTTCATAACCATCCTTTCTTTTTTTGTTGTTTTTTTTTTTTGTTTTTGGTGCTGGGAATTGAACTCAGGACCTTGTACTTGCCAGGCAGGTACTTGTGCCACTGAGCTATAGCCCCAGCCCACCATCCTTTCTTGTATGTACAGTTACCTCTTCATGTGCCTAATGAGACAATGCCACATGATTTGAGGATATACATGACCAAATGGAAACACAAGTGATTAACTTTAGGAACAGAAATTCAATGTGTGAAACGGGGGTGGGGGCTAGGGGGTGGGGATGTTTCCTCTGAGGCCAGGCTGAAAACCTGTACAGAATGTTAAATGTACTGTGTATAAAGCAGCAGTGTGCAAATTTTTAAACTCCTGAATGCATTATCCAGTCTTCAGGGAATAAACAATAAGCAAAGAAAGTTAGAGTTGAATGCACTGAACATAGCTTCATACATGATTCTGGAAAAGGATTAAAAGAACTTGACGTCAAATGGAGCGATTTCATCAAGGTAGAGGGCACTGTGGAAGCAAGGTCATACAGAGTAGCTGAACACACAGGGGCTGCCATAAATCACGCTCTCGGTCAGCACACTGAGAGTTCTGGCCCATCAGCAGTGGCCACGGTTGTGAAGAAAGGTATAAACTCCTCGCGCAGCATCAAGTTTTGCAACCCTACACCGTAAAGACCATTTCTTCCTAAGCCTGTGCAAGGATCAGACTATGAGCCTGGGGAATGGCCCCATTTTCTTCTAGCACTTGCATCCTTGGGATGGCAGAAGCAGCAGTATCTGTGGTGCAGGATTCAGCACCGACAGGCTTCTGGATGTGCCAGTGGATCCCAATCATGAGATTTGTAGCCCACGGGACCTGGTGTCTGGCTGTCTGGGGGTCTCATCTGTCAGCACTGGAGCCCCTCAAGCAGATGCCTCTCCCCCTGAATCCCTCTCTGACCGCGGAGCTCTTCCTCTCTTCTACCATCTTCTCTCCCCTGCTGACCTGCAGGATAATATGGTGCTGGGGTGGAGAATGCAGGGTTTCCTCCACTACCCTCCTTCCTCTTCATGATGAGAAGCCCAGGTTTTCTCAGGCACAGAGCCGCTCAGAGTACAGGGCACATGTCCTTGACTTCTTTGCAACAAGGTGTGGCTTTGGAACTACATTCTGGCCCATGGACTAGCAGCAGAAGGGACATGTGCATTTTCCAGGCTGGTTTCCCGCAGGAAAGAGGGCCATTGTGGCCACTAAAACGTGGCTGTTGCAGTGAGTGGTTTTGAATCACGTGGATGAGAGCCAAGCAACCAAAGAAAGGGAATTGTGCTTCTGTAACTTCTCAGACTGCAGATTCCCTCTTGCTCTGTCTGGAACCTAAGTGGAAAATTACTTTATTGTGTTAATTCAGATTTCTAACATAGCAGCCAAACTTGGAGCCTAACCTGTGCAGTCAGTTCATGAGGTGACCTGCCCCCTAAACACAATTTTCCATCTTTGCTTTATAACTCTTTTCATAGCTCCCACTCTTCACCCTCAACTCTTGACACACATGGAACTTGCTACCTTTTCCCAAGCCAGGCACTCCCTTCTGCAGCCCTGCCTGTACATGCCATTCCCTCAGCACCAGCACTGCAGCCTGTCAAGCCTTCCTTCAGCATCCAAGACTCTGCTCATTCTTTTATTGTAATTATCTCTTTTATCTGCATATTCTCAAGAGCGAATAGTGTCTACTTGGCTCCCTAAACCCTCTCTTTCCTCTTCTCTGTCCTGTGGTGTGGAACGGGAGGCTGATGTCTACAGACTGTATGCCCAGGGTCCCTTGTCTTCTGGTTTCCAGTTGGATTTGGCCAGTGGCAATCAGGTGACTGGGAGGTCAGCAAAGGTATTCATTTTCCCAGCTTCCTCTCTGCCTGGCCACAGTCCCTGTGGCCAGGAACAGGTTCTTACCTTTGCTAGTCTCTGGCTGCATCCTCACTCCAGTGGTTTCCTTAACACTGCCCATTCATTTGTGAATACTTCTGTTATTAAATTGCCTTCAAATTACATTTTTGAGCTTGCTTCTGTTTCCTCCTTGCACCCTGACTCATAGCATGTCTCCCTAGACTGCTATTAGACTATGACAACCTCAAGGTCAAGGACAAAGACTAAGATGTTTTCCTTCGTAAGCCTCGCTCAGTACCTGACCTATAACTTTTGCACAACACTTCATGCAGTAAAAGAATATTTCTGTCCATTCAAGATTCTTACATAAATTCCCCAAGAATGGTTGATTTAACTTGCATAAATGTACATTGTGAATTTAAATTCTCACTTTATTTTCAAGTGAATGTGAAATTCTTTATGTAATCATGTAGTGCCTAGATTTCACTCCAAATATTTACTTCACTCGTTTCTTCCAGCTTGTTCCATTTGCTTATCTTTATATTGGTATCTTACAGTAATTTATACCATCATTCAAGTTCTCGACAGAAAGACTTAGCCAAGAACCAAGGACTGAAATCTGTGGGTCCACCAAAGGCTTTCTTCTGGTTGACATTAACCTCTGAATCAACACTCATTCAGTATTTTGGGTCCATTGTTTTAATGCTATTGAGAGTGAAGCTGTTTTCTTAACTTCATTTTTGGATTGGTCATTGGTGGTACATGAAAATCCCTAAAATGTTTTTTAAATTTTTAAAAATTGCTCTTGTATCCTGAAATCTGACTGAATTCCTTGATTAGATCCAGTAGTTGTGTGTTTTCAGAATTTCATATGCAGTAGTTCCCCTAATTAATAAGAGATACCTTCCAGTATGTCTAGGGGATGACCGACATTTTTCAGTAATAGGAGGCCTCTTGTGCTTCTGTTTGACATATCCAAGTTTCCAGCACCATTGCTCTCATGCTTTTGGGGTGCTGATAAGTATGATAAAGGTTTCATGAACACAAGCATGGTGAAGGTGCGATAGTAGATCTGACAGCCAGGACGGCTGTGAAGAGACTAACAGGAAGGACATGCATGTGGCATGAATCTGTTAGACTAACAAATGACTCCTGTTCGAAGGGAGACAGAGCGGGATGACATTAGATTTCACCACATAGCTCAGAATGGCACACAACTTAAAATTGTTTAGCTTTGAAACTTTCCATTTAATTTTTGTAGACCATAGTTTTATTAGTTAATTTTCCCATCGCTGGACACTTTACTCAACAACCCTACCTGATAGTG